AAAACCAGTCCAGCTCGTCCCTGCCTCCCTAACCTGTTCTTCCTCCCACCTATCCCCTCCTCCCACCTCAAGCCGCACCTCCATCTCCTACCGACCAACCTCATCCCGCCCCCTTGACCTGTCCGTCCTCCCTGGACTGACCTATCCCCTTCCTAACTCCCTACTTACACTCACCTTTCCTGGCCCCATCCCCGCCTCTTCGACCTGTTTGTTTCTTCTCCACCTATCCTCTCCTCCATCCCTCTTCTATCCGCCTCCCACTCTCTCCCTATTTATTTCAAAACCCCCTTCCCCTCCCCCTTTTCTGATGAAGGGTCTAGGCCCGAAACGTCAGCCTCTCTGCTCCTATGATGCTGCTTGGCCTGCTGTGTTCATCCAGCCTTGCACCTTTGTAGTTGAGTTGGTTTTCAATTCAAATGTGACATCTGAGCCAAAGTCAGCCCTCCAGAACAGATTCAGTAAATCAGTTTATCACCAGAGCAATGTCATACTTGAAATTACTTGAAGTGATTCATCAATCTCACTATAATAAAGAGGATCAGGCTGGGCAGGGTTAAACAAATGTAAACTGAACTATTCTGCAGAATTGTCACAGGCATATCGACTTTCTATCGACTTGAGAAGTAGTGACTTTGTTTCTCCCCAAGGAATACTGCTATGGCTAATCGTGATTACTGTTTCGATAAACAATTTTTTTTAAACCAAAGAAATAAATCAAACTATTATATACTTCAATTGATAGCTGGTAAGAAATTTTAACTTCTCATATACAAACTCTTCATAAAAATCAATCACCCCATCAGACATCACTGCACAGACTAAGGTGGTGGGGGAGAGTTCCTTGGAAGAGCGTTCAAAGTCATCTTTCTTCAAAGTCATCTTCCTTGTCTAGGACTAAAGCCAAATTGAGCTACTGTTTTCATGAAGAGTGGACAAAGAATATGCTTCCTCTATGGTGTGCTGTAACTTTATGAATAATGTCTCTCCCTATATAGGCCCCTAGACTTTATTTATATATCAACTGGCTGCCAAACATTACTCTGTCTGTTCAGCACACATGTGCCAAGGATATGTTAACTAAATTTGTAACCATAGTGGAACCTAGCCACAGTAGCAGAATTGCTTCTTGCCAAGAGCACTCAATCTTGTGCATAGGTCTCTGGCCCTGTACCCAAACCTACTAATTAAAGACTGATGGTCTAACACAGCAGCAAGAAGTAATCCACTGTTGAAACTGCAATTCTTGGGACGAGCTATTAAGCATCAGCTTCCTGTTCAAGGCAATATTACAATCCCATGACACTATCAGCAGAGGAGTACAATCTGTTTTTATCAGTCTTGGTCAATAATTGTACCATCGAGATCAGGCAAACTAGTCAGTGACACACTTTTACCTTGGCACATCACTCAGCAGAAAATTATTTTTCTTGCAGTTATGCCATATGACTCAGTTATATGCATGCAATTCTCATTACTGGAATGGAGACAACAATGCCATAGTCTCAATGCTACTTCACACTACTCAGAAAGAGAGAATTTCCTTGATGAATGTGTTTTGTAATGCCCCAAGTTATTCATTCCAGAGAACACTGAAGCAGAACTATTCCTTCTTTCTCCACCCCTCAATTTCTCATCACATTCAGAATCTACCTTTAGATTCTGACTGTAAATGAAGACTACAACCATTAGTAACTAGAATTACAAGTAGTAAGACAATAACAGTTTCAAATACAAAAACAGAAGTTGCTGGAAAAGCTCAGCAGGTCTGGCAGCATCTGTGAAGGAAAAAAAAAAAATCAGAGTTAACGTTTCAGGTCCGATGACCCAGTTCAAAGTGATGCCAAAATAATGCATACATTGTTCAGTTACTGTTAAGTAGGCAGACATGATAGTCACTTTAAACACCAGGCCCCAACCCAGCAGCAAGGTGAATGACTTGTCCATTCGTTTCAGTAGTTTCTGGAGCAATATTGGCCAAAACATCCAAGAGAAAAAAATGACACTTAGAACACATCAGTAGGAATGCTGCATTGAAGATTTAACTCCAGTTATGTGCTGAAGTCCTGGATGTGGCTTCAACGTCAAGGGGAGACCAAATACCACAAGATAAAATATGGTCTTGAGATCGCAGCCTTTTCTGTCCATTCAGTTAAATAAATCTAATCAATAGGTCTTGTTGGGTTATACTGTCTGACATTCACCAATTTTAACCAAATTAAGTATCAATTGAGGAAATGAAAATAGTTAACTTTGTGGAGACCTCATTGCAAGTTATCATTACTTTATTGCACCTTGTCTGAACATTTAGGTACAAGGTTATATTTCAGTATTGCACAGATTAGAGAGGCCCACCTCTATACTTAAATTAAGAGTTCTACCAACCAACTTATTATTATTCAGATTCTACATCAATGTGAAAATCCCAATATCTATAACTATTCTATTTAGGATTTGAAAAAAATAGTAGTTCTCAAATGAGGTTTTCAACAAAGTAGAATTTTTCTGATCACAAAGGGTCATATCCGTATCAAATTAACACCTCATGCTCAGAATAAGAGGCAACATCTTTTATATCTTTGCATATGTAGGTTGTAAGCAAAAATATTCTCATCACAAAAATGCAAAGACCCATTGCTTCCTTTCACCCAACACAGTTAACATTAAACAAAAAGAAAGACAAAAACTTCTGCAAACAAACCTAAAACTAGATGCGCACATGGAAAATCTCATTAAGCTGTTGCTATAACAAAGCAGCCAATCCAACACTGCAGAAAGTAACTTCTAAATTGGGGAAATTAACTGCATAAACACTGAGGAAAACACTACATTTCAAATAAAAACAATTTCTCCTTATTCACCTCCTCTCCCCCATTTCATCAATTCCATAGGCAAACTTTCCCTTTGAAGAGCGGGAAACAAGGTTTCAGATCTCAGCCTTGTGAAGAAAGGCTTTCGAGAGCTGCCAGCTGGCAAACAGCCATTCAGCAAGAAGATCCGCTGTATGAACAATAAACTGTATCCTTTCCTGCTTTGAGCAAGGACTTCTAAAATTCACCACCAGCGAGAAATTGTTAAGCATTTGTTTGGCACTGAAATTAAAAGAAACTGACCACTTGTGATTGCCAACCTTGGCCAAAGCAACATGCAATTCTACACAATCATATGACAGATAAATCTGCTGGATGTCACATGTTGCATTCAATACAAATCTAGAAAATAAACAACTTCCTAACTGTAGTTACCTGTGATTAGTTCTCTGACTTCCATGTCATTGGTCTTCCTGAGCAATCGAACAAGGGCAGGAATTCCATCACAATTCTTGATTGCGACTTTACTGTCATGATCTTTACCAAATGAGATGTTTCTTAGAGCACCACATGCTCGCCGATGGACATCAGGTTTTGGATGATCCAGAAGTCCAACCAAAATAGGTATACCCTTCAGTTGCCTAACTTCCTTTTTAATTTTGTCATTCTCGTAGCAGAGATGCTGCAAGTAGGCAGCAGCATTTGACTTAACTGGATCAAGGTGATGACTGAGCATTGCAATAACCTCTGGAAGATCAGGGTCCCGCCATCTAGGGTCTTTCCGAATGCTGTCTATTGATGGTGAGTGTCTTCCGAGTCGGTCTAGGCTGGCCATGCTTCCCCTTTCTGGCTGAGCTAGTGGTGCGTTGTACACTCCTGTCAGATATGGAATCCGATCTTCAATGATCTCTGCTTCAATAGGATCTTCGTAACCTCTAAAACAGAAACAGAATTACACGGTTGGATCATTTTAGTAAAGAACAGCCATGGTGTCTCCTGTTATGCAAACATAGTTAACGATTAGCAATGAACTCATAGCATAAAAGTTACCAAATCGAGATGCTATTCAACAGGATTAAGAGCAGATCAATAAGCATTGGTTAAAAACAAAAGTTTTTATTTCAGATCTCTACCATCTTCAGTACTTAGTTTTGGTAAAACAATAGATTAGGTGACTAATGATGCCGACGATGAAAACACTTGAAACATCAGAAATTTTTTCTCTTCACAGGCACGGATTTTTTCAGAAGCTTGCATGACGTATTTTAATTTCAGGACTGAAGAAGAAGAATAAAAACTTGTATATACGTATAATCTTCAGAATACTAAGATATCACAAGATTCACAGAAATCTTACCATTAAGATTTTACACTGAGTCTAATAAGGGCATATTTGTGCAGATGACCAAAAGCTTGGTCAGAGGTAAGGTTTATGAGGCAAACAAAGTTAGGGAAGCACGGGTTGAGGGACAGAATTCTAGTCAAGGGTCTAGGCAACTGAGGAAACAGCTGTTAAAAATGGCACAATTAAATTCAAGGAAGCTCAAAGTCAGAATTAACTGAGTGTAATTATCTCAGCTGATTGTGGAATTGCAGGAACTTATGGATAGAAAGGGGCAAGGCCACAGAAGGATTTGGAAATAACGTCTTTAAAGATCAAGGTGCTGCTGAATCGAGAACCAACCTAATTCGATGAGTAAAGGCATAATAGGGGTGAAAGAGATTTTGCAAGTAAGAATTTGTATAAAGTTTTACATGACCAAGTTTAGAGTGGAAAGCAGGTGACCAACCGAGAGTGCTCTGAGATAATCTGTTCTTGAACTAATAAAGACACGGATGAGGATTTCAGTAATAAACAAGCTGAGACAAGGACTAAGTCAATTACAGAAGTCTGAAGAGGCAGTCAGTGATGGCTCATGTCGTTGCCCTTTTTCATTTTCAAGTCGAACAAGAACCAAAGTTGCAAACAGTCAGTTCAGTTCAGCCTTCAGACAGTTGCCACAAGTGGATGCAATCAGTTCAAACAGAATTTGCGCCAGGAACAAAAAACAAACATTGTTGTTTACCATTCCAATATTTAATTGGTCAGAGATTTGTGCTCATCCACAGACAAACTCTCACCTTCACATGGTGCAGCTCTTCACTTCTCCCTTCCTTTTCTCAACATCTGTTCCCATTTCTGGAGATAGGCTGGCTGCCAATATCCACTACAAACCCATCCACTCCCAGTTACCTTGACTATACATCCTCACACTCTGCTTCCTGTAAAGACTTATTACATTCTTTCAGATCCTCTGTCTCCAACGCATCTGTACTAATAATGCGAAAGTTGACAAGGGTGTGTCCAAAATATACACCTTCTTCCTCAACTGAAGATTCCCCAACACAATGGCTGATCGGGCTCTTAGCCAGCTCCAGCCCATCTCCAAACTTCAGCCCTCACCCGTCTCCCCTCCCCAAATAGCAACAGGGTCCCTCCTTGTCCTCACCTAACATCCCACCAGCATCCACATCATTAGTCACTATTTCCGCCATCTCCAGTAGGATGCTAACACTAGACATATTCGCCTCCCCTCCCTGGTCAGTATTCCACAAGGACTGTTCCCTCAGGAACACCCTGGTCCATTCCTCCATCACCCCCAACTGCCACATGGCATCTTTCCCTGCAACTTAAGGTTTAATACCTACCCATGCACTTCCTTCCTCCCCAGTATCAAAAGGTCCAAACACACCTTCCAGGTGAAGTAATGCTTTACCTGAACTTTATGCAATCCAGTCTACTGCATTTGCTGCTCACAATGTGGTCTCCTCTTCACTGGGGAAACTAAGCATAGACTGGGTGACTGCTTTGCAGAATGCCTACATTCTGTCTGCAAAAAAGACCCTGAACTTCCAGTTGCCTGTCACTTTAATACATAGTGTTCCCTAGCCAACATCGGTCTCAGGCTTGCTGCAGTGTTCCAGCAAAGCTCAGTGCAAGCTGGAAGAACAGCATCTCATTTTCTGCTTGAAAACTCTACAGTCTTCTGGACTCAAAATCGAGTTCAACAATTACAGGGCTTGAGGCACCTTCTCCCATGTCCTTACCCCAGCCCCCACACACCAGGCCATGTTGTCATATGGTCTGCTATTACACACAACCTATTCTTAGCCACTAACAGTCCCCATTAACAGCTATTCATTCTCCAATGCCAACCATTAACCCACTCCTTTGTCTAATGGCCCTCCTCTGTTTACTCCTTAACCCCTCCCTCCACCCCATCTTCTGCATAAAAACCAACTTTTTCCTAGCTACCATCAGTTCTGAAAAAGGGTTACTGGAACCAAAACGTTAACTGATTTAGCTCCACAGATGCTGCCAGACCTGCTGACTTTTCCAGCAATTTGTTTTTGTCACTGATGTCAGCAGACTGTTAGTTTTGCCAGGAGAGGAGTCAAGAGAGGTTTTGGTGAGATAGATGTGGATGTTATCAGTATGGACGTGATGCTTTGATTTGATTTATTACTGTCACCTGTATTGAGATAGTGAAAAGTATTGTTTTGAGTACTATCCAGACAAATCAGTTCTTACATAAGTACATCAGGGTAACAGAACAGAATACAGACTATATTATTGTTACAGCTACAGAGAAGGTGCAGAGAAAGATCAACTTTAATAGACAGAGGTCCATTCAAATGTCTGCTAACAGCAGGGAAGAAGCTGTTCTTAAATCCGTTGGTAGATGTTTTCAGACTTTCCTATCTCCTGCCCTATGGAACAGGGTTGAAGAAATTATGAACAAGATGGGAGGGGTCTTTGATTAAGTTTGCTGCTTTCGAGGTACTGGGAAGAATAGACAGAGTAAATGAAAGGAAAGCTGGTTTGTGTGATAGACTGGGCTGCATTCACAACTCTTTGGAATTTCTTGTTTCTTGGCCATGCAAGCTGTGATGCATCCAGATAGGGTGCCTTCTGTGGTGCATCTACAAAATTTGGTAAGAGTCATTGTGGATGTGCTGAATTTCTTCAGCCTTCTGAGGAACTGGAGGCGCTAATATGAATGGATTGGGACAGACTGTTGGTGATATTTACCCTTACAAACTTGAAACTCAACCATTTCCACATCAGTACCATTGATACAGACTGGCCAGTTCACCATTTCACTCCTGAAGTCGATGACCAGCTCCTTCATTTTACTCACACTGAGGTTGTGATTGCTGTCTTCATAACTTGCCACTAATCGCCCTCTCTCTCCTTTACTCTGTTCTCATTGTTGTTTAAGAACCAACCTGCTACGGTGGTGTCATCAGCAAATTTGTAAACAGAATTAGAGCAGAATTTGACCACACAGTCACGAGTGTATAAGGAGTACAGTAAGGGGCTAAGCATGCAACCTTGCAGGGCCCCAGTATTGAGGATTATCATGGAGGTGTTGTTGCCTAGCCTTACTGATTGCGGTCTGTGGGTCAGGAAGTCGAGGGTCCATTTGCTCGGGATGGGTGGAGGAAGACAGCCGAGCTGGGCCGGGTGGGGAAAGAGTCCTAGATCTTAGAATTTGGGCACGAGTCGAGGTTGAAGGCAGAGCGAAAGCGAACAAATAGGAGTCTGACATAGGTGTCCTTGTTATTCAATCTTCCAGGGATGACCATGGGGCCAGGGAGATGATATCTGCAATGGACTTGTTGTGAAAGTAGGTGAATTGTAGTGGATCAATGCTATCTAGGAGGCTGGAGATGATGCGCGCCATTAGTAACCTTTTGAAGCACTTCATAATGATGGATGTCACAGCCATTGGGTGGTAGTCATTAAGGCATACTACCTGATTTCTCTTTGACACTAGGATGATAGCAGTCTTCTTGAAACAGGTGGAAACCACAGATCAGAATAAGGAGAAGTTAAAGATGTCTGCTAATACAGGTCCACGTAGGATCTGAGTGCATGGCTGGGATTCTATTTGGGCCAGTACCTTTCCTCAGGTTCACTCTCAAGGAGGCTGATCTGACATTTGCGGTGGTGACTGTGGGTACAAGTGCATTTGAGGCTGTTGGGGCAGGTGACATTATTTCACTAATCTTCTGTTCAAAATTAACATGGAATGCATTGAGCTCATCAGGGAGACATGCATGGCTGCCAGTGATTCGATTCACCTTCACTTTGTAGCCTGTTATATTGTGCAAGCCTTGCCATAAATCAACACGTGTTCATGTGGCGAGTTTAAGGCTCTAGGGTAGTCTGGTATTGTCTCTTGGCATCTTTGATGGCTTCACGAAGGTTGTATCTGGATATCCTGTATGGGTCAGCAGACGTGAATGCCTCAGACCTAGACTTCAGTAGGGAGTGGATCTTCCGGTTCATCCATAGTTTCCGGTTGGGTTTTTGGCATGCAACCCTCTACACACCTATTGACAAAGTCTGTGATGTACTCATCTTGTTTGTCAAATTCTTGAATATGGACCAGTCCATTGACTCCAAGCAGTCACGTAGGAGTTTGTCCATTACCTCAGTGCAGCACTGTACGACTTTCTGTACTGGATCTTCACGCTTTAGTTCCTGCTTGTAAGCCAAGAGAAGGCGTATGGCCTTATGGTCTGACTTACCAAAGCACGGGCAGGGGATGGAGCAGTAGGCATCTTTGATGGTCGTGTTGCAATGGTCAAAGGTGTTTGGGCCTCTAGTGGGATGGGAGATGTGTTGATAGTATCTTAGTAGTACACTCGAGGTTGGCCTGGTTGAAGTTACCAGCTGCAATGCACAAGGGCTCAGGGTATTCTGTCTCAAGGCTATTTTTAGTAGTGTATATTTCATCAAGTGCACTCTTCACTTCTGCATGATGTGGTGTAAACTGCTGTCAGGATAGCAGAAGTGAACGTCCACAGCAGTAGTAGGAACAGCACTTTACCATTAGATAATCTAGGTTTTCAGAGCAGTAACTTGCCAGGGTCATCACATCTGCGG